ACCGTAGTACGTTGACATGTCAAGTAAAACTTTTCAGTTAAAAATTTTACATATATTTCTGACACTTCTCAGAAAAAAACCATCTTATAAGAAACACTTTTGTTCAGAATTCATACAATTTATTTGTTCAACTGATAAGCTCTAAGAATAAAGAAAAATATAATAACGCTAAAAAGTACCGTGCGTTCCAAATGCCATAAAATAATTTTTGGCCCTAAAGGCCCGTTAATTTGCACTTTCTCATGTTATAATAAATAAGAGGAGCTATTTATCAAAACTGTACAGATTTAAAACTGACAAAAAACGTATGATTAAGAAATTGTTTTTCAAACCTTGCAAATTTGTTACCAGAGCCACAGAGTTTTGGAGCTTACTCTTTCTATTTTTTTATTGCTACAATGTGTACAAATACAAATTATTCTATGTATTTAAAAATCTGAAAGATTTAAGTGATAACTGTCAGGGTTATGATGAAAAGCAGGTCTCTTATGTAATAAATTCTATAATTGTAGATTCTGACTCTACTATTTCAATCACGATAACTGTTCTGCGTCAGTTTTTGAAGCCTAAAATTAGGTTCTTAGCTAGTAGCTATATCTTCTATGGTCTGCTCTTGTAGCACCAGACTACAACGTTTGAAGCGTTAAAGCTTGTTGCAAAGTTTTTTTCCAACGTTTGCTGGTATTACGCCGAAGACGTTAGTGTCTAAAGCACCTTTTTTTTGTAGAGCTCAGTCGTTTAGGTGATCTCAGGTGCAGAGATTGGTTCATAGTTCTTGCCTGTTGGAGACTATCCTGTTTGCTTCAGTTTATTTTTCGATTATAGCTTCACTGTTAGGTTCGCCCAGCGCCAACCTTGGAGAGGATTGGTGATTCCTGGTTGAATGCTTAGAGTTAAAAGCGTGATGTAGGGTTGACGGTGGCCGGGGTTTCCAGCCTCGTGACCAACAACTGCGCCCATGACATCTGCTAGTGAACGACTGACTGGGTTTAGTAGTGGCTGATTTTATATAATCTTTTAGTGAATGAATCGTTGTTGAGAATATTTTTTGGCAAAGAAGTTTAACGTTAGATGACCTTGAATAGAACCGATGAGATTAATGGTAAATTAGGTAACGTTTATACTTGTAATGGCCCTGAAAAGGGCCAGTAGTGATACTTCTAATTATTCCTTATTATTACTCTCGATAAAAGAGAGCAGCTTACGGATAGCTTTACTCTCACCCTTGAAGTCTCTTTGTACGGAGACCGTGTTGGAGGAAGGTTCGCTGCTGATCAAAGAATATCTCGTATTCAGGTTGTTCCCCAGGTAACCATTTGTTCACCGTTGGTTGGGAAAGTGAGCCTGGAGAATACGTTCTCTGTAAGTATACTGTTGGGACGAACCACTGAGGAAAAGGCTGATGAAATTTTGAGTTGATTAGGCTGGCTGTACTCCTTGAGATTGCTTTCTCTGGCTTGCTGTTGTAACAAAATCTGCTCTTGAAGCATCAGATAGGTTGGAAGAACAACCCCCTTTTTATTAGAGCAGACTTTGCTCAAGCTAGACGTCTCCTAGTATTACGCCAGTTATGTTCGCATCTAGAATGTCTTTTATTTGTGGCACTCGTTACTCTTGGTGGTTTAGAATGGAATTTGACGTAAGTCACTTGTCTAGCGGAGAATAGTGTTGTCGATAGCCGGGACATCCAGCTGCAGAACTCACAACTCCTTTCTTGATGCACTGCCATGAACGACTATATTATTCGGCATTTGGCTCGGGGATATAATATCCAGACCCCCTTAATTTAATTACAGGTAGCTTTGATTTTACTTCGATGCCACCTAGCAGATTCTACTGTACTGATGTGAAAAGCTTGCTTATTTTTGCAAAACTTTGAGCTCATTTATTGCTTTTGTTATTCATTTTTTTTTATGATAAAAACTATACTTAAACTATCTAGGAAGTGTCCAGAATTAGTATGCAAAATTTCAGCAAAGTCGGTTGAGTAGTTTTCGTGGTTAGCGATATTACAACAATTTTTGCGACTTTGCTTGATATATAAGTAAGATATCTCAAAATTTTATTTTACAGCTGTAATTTAAAACTTTAATAATTATAAAATTAACAAAGTGTTTCAAAAGTAATGCAGCAATAAATTTTTCATAACATACATCAATTTATATCTCATTTTTAGAAATTTTAGGAGTTTCTATTTTGGCTTTCCTAATTTTTTAATCGATGTTAAAAGCCCATTATCAAATATAGACTTCTTATTTAAAAAATTGTACTGATGCCTCATCCAAAATCATTCAATCAACTCTTCTCATTTTTTTTTATCGGACTCGAATTCTAAAAAAGCACACTCTATATTTACTTTTTAGTCTTACATCAACGCTTTGACAAAGTTTGTGTACTCTTTTTTGTGTGTCATGTTACATTTTTAGTCATGAACTCATTTTCCTTTTTTTTACTGGTTTCTCATTATTCAATGGCTTAGACATAGATATTTTGGCATAACATAGTATTTCTAGTCATATAGTAGAGTAAATCAGGAGAAACTATATTGTTGATACTAAATAGTGGAAGTTGTCATTGGGTTATTAAAGAACCCAATCCAGGAAGAGATCAACCTGCAACCCGAAATAACTCATAAATTTGCCTGTGTGAGTGTAGTGAAAGTGTAATGCCTGTATCTAAGAAGAATGTTATAACTACCGCTTACTTCTATATACGATGGGGTGATGTGCCGTTGGTTTAAAGCCCCCTCACCCGACCTGGCTGCAAGCAATACGGTCTTCGACAACGTTACACATACCGTAGAGGGGGGGGGGTAGTGGTAGTAGTAGGTGTGGTAGTAGTAGAAGTAGTTTTTCTTTCTTTAGTGGAGGGAGGGGAAATACCTCAATGCACTCCTCAGAGACAGCGATAGTGTGGGACTTGGTGGTTTTTTAAATAATACCTACTAAACCCCCCTCCCCCATGCTGCGTGGCTTTAGTTCCACCCCGGAACCACCTTAGCATTACTTCAGGGTGGAGCCACTTAGGAGGTTATCGTATCTTACAGCATTAGCAAGCAAGCAAGCTAGAGGTGCCAATTCTTTAGAGCCCTAAAAAGGGCGCAGGGTCCCTTAAGAATGGCACTTATGTCAAGCTCTTCTTTGTAGGCTACAGTATTTGCAAGTGCCACTAAATTTTTTATGCTTTTCCTAGCTGATAAGTAAGGATACCTAGTGCAGCACGGGTCCGCATTAATTTCACTACCTACTTTGTGCTTCATGTCTCCTATCTTACGAAAGGAACACCGTGCTGGACTGCTGCAGTTTTTCTTGCGATGATTTGAGCTTCCGCATTAAAACCACAGCTTTGACATATCTTTATCTTTGCAGTCGTGGGATATATGTCCATACCCTGGACAACAGAGGCACCTTGTAACGGTAAGTATTTTTCTTACACGGCAGAAAACGAACATAATTCTGATTCTCTACTCTTATTCTACTTGTTTGGCAGCAGCTTCATTAAGGGTTTACAACGCTGTTCTTTATTCTCTACCGTTTGCCTTAAGAAGTTGAACCTTCAGTTATTGATTTTGGTATTCAATGATCTTTTCAACGAATTTCTCAACTTCACGTTCTTCTACAATACTGTATAAATCTTGGATCTAGAGCGTCACTTTTTATAGTGTAATTAGCACCGATCCTTCGCCAACTACCAACTCTTCCACGTGTTGAGTTGAGTTATTGTTTTCAAACTTTTTTGTGAGACAATATTTTATAATTATAACATCTATAATTTGCTTAATTAAAGGAGATATTCTGGAGTATTTTTTAATGTAATATAGCATTAGTAAAATACGTGTATCATGGTTTAACCATTGATATTTGTTTTGTAGTTGTTTCTATTTTACTAGAAAAAAGGTTTGATCACTTAATTGTAACAATGTCCATTAATCTCATTAGTCTTTCCTAATAAGAATTAGCTAAAAAACGTTACATTGAACTGAGCAAATATGTAGATAAAAATTGTATAATTTGAGTTCACAATTAATGAACATCATAAATTGGTAAAATGATTTAAGAAGCCTGTGAAAGTCTGTGTTAACTTAAAATGTGGTGCCGTTAACAATGTATCGTTGAAGATTAAAAACAACAATCAATACTTACATGATTTTTTTCTCATTTTTATTGGAAATATACGTTTGCATTAACCTTTTACTCAGAACCATGTGAAAAATATGGGTAATCATTATGGAAGTGAAAAGTTTAAAATTTATCAACACAAGTTCCAAAAAATCATTTGGAAGAACGACAAAAATCATTATATTATTGTGGTCGAACCTAAGGTGTTAAATTGTAATGATTTAAATTTCATATTTTCTTTCCCTTTTTATTGACTCTGCAACTTTGTTGGTATCACGAAGTTGAAATAACTAAAAAGTCAAAAACTAATATTTTTCGTTGTATCTAAAAAAATTACTATGTAAAAGTGTTGTTGTGTTCAATTGTCAACTGTATTACAGTACAGAAAATCCATAGCATGTTTAAAAATCTCGTTAAAATTTTAAATGAGTATTACAACAGTTTACTTTGATAAATGAATCATTTTAAATTTTTCGTACAATCACTATTATTACCTAGTATAATAAAAGTGAACTAAGATTAAGATTGTTTGTATTTTAAAATAAATTTCTCATTTGTCATTTTGATAACTTGAGTTACTAATTGATTTGTTGTGGCATTCACCATTCCGTTTTGTACAGTAATAAGTATCTAATAAGCATAATTTATTGTTATGTTAAGAAACCATTTAAAGCGTGAACGTGTCATAGTTTGAAAAAAGTTGGAAAGTTTTTAAAACCTGTTATAGTCATTGAAAAGAAAAAAATAATATGATGTATTAATCATCTTCTTTGAGTATTTAAATAGAAAAAAAAATTAGACTATTGATCCAATGGCACTGCTTAAGCGTTCGTATTTTGAGATTTTTCTCGTAAGAAACGTTGTAAGTAGAAAAACTCTTACCTAAAGATAATAAGGTGTGAGATAATTCTGCCGCAAGCATGGTTCCATTTTCTTGCTTGTCGTATAACTTTAGGCATTCGATGAAATCTTCATAACAGCCTTGCTCTTTATCTTTTTTCACTTGACTGTAAATAGGTAAGAATTCTTCTAGAGTTAACGCTTTCTCTCCTTTTTTCTTTGTACCACCAAGCTTTTCTATGGTTGCGTTGGTTGGGTTAGTATGTAAAGCTCGAAGAACATTTCCTAGATCCACAGCATCAATAACTCCAGAACCAACCTCGTCATAGATAGAGAAAGCAAATTCGGCTTCTAAAGTATAAAACATTAAACTCTATAAATTTTTTAGAAATCAGATCATTTACAGTTATAAATGCGTTTTTACTTAGAAGACTGCATCTACTATAGTTACATTTAATAACTGAAAAATGGTTGGTTATATTTGTAAGATACATTGAACCGTTAAGTACAATAACAATAAATATTTCGGAATTTAATCCAATTTAAAGCTTTTTTATGGTAGGAGTTTTCAGCAAAACGGTATTTTTTTCCGTATCAAGTCACGTGGAAGTGAGACGAAGTAAGTTTGATGTAGTAAAATACGTTTAAGAGTAAGTAATAATTGCTAGTAACTATAGACTTTTCTTACAAAAGTAAGAAAGCTTGTATTACTACTTAATTTTTTATCAGTTCTTTCACTACTAAGATAAACAAATTAAATTCTAATTTATGCATTTAATTTCAATGCGGACTATTGCAACCTACGCATTTTATCATTGTCTCTTAAGATTCTGAGTAAGGCAGTTTTATTGTCACCATCAAAATGATAATGAAAATAATCGAAAAGTCAAGTCTTATCGTCTTCTTAATTACAACTTACAAACAATAAACATGGGTCACTATAATCTTGAGTATATGTACGTTAAAGTTAATGTAAACGGATGAATTTTTTTGACGATATAATTTTTTTTAACCTTTTTTATACTGTTTAGTAAACAGTGTGCTAAAAATTTTTGCCATGTATTTAGTAGCAAATGATTTATTTTTTGAATTTTGTATTGAAGTAAGGCAATGATCACATGGTGATATGGATATTTATAGTACTCCAGTATTTAAGTAACCTTACAATTCAAAAACAATCCTTTTTTATTGTATGCTTTAATAAATTAACTAAAAAGTAGAAAACAACTTTTTTGTTTATAATAGAGCTTTACAGAAAAATTTAAAGTTCTCAGTCAACAGTATATTCACACTGTCTGTTTTAAGGGTTCGATTTAATTCAAAATTGAGGCCAGATTAATTTTATTAGGTCAGGGGCTCACTAGTACCCCAAGAACTCTATAGTTTAAGTTACATAATCTAGTAACAATAAATATGGTACCTTAACGTTATAACCTTCAAATATCATAGTTTTATATCTCCTACCATCATAGCTGTATAATAACCACAACTCTTTTCATATTGTAATGAAATAGTTTTCGACGGGCAATATGTATTATTTGTAGTTGCCACACAGGCTATGGATATCCTAATCGTGTAAATGTAAGGTAGTTCTTTCATAAAATAATTATGATCAGAATAACATGAAACTTTGAGGAATCATTTATTAAGTCTCAATACACTACCTCTCAAAATTTTAGTGAAAGCTGACGAATAAAAACGTAAGAAAATGATAAACGAAAAGTAAATTCTAAACATGTGCTCTTATAACAACTAAATATTTCTTTACTAAATGTTGTAGCCTAGTTTTTTTACTTACTGATCATAGTTTGGTAAAAAACTGACACAATAAAGCATATGTAGTACTAAACATACTGTCATCTCGAAATACATATATTCATGGACTTAATCAAAAGATATTAAAATAAACACAGGCAAAAATTTTCGTATCCTATGTTGACAACATAGGCAAGTATAATCAGCTGATATTTTTATGTTAAACGCAAATTTTACATAATCATTCCTACAAACTTTTACATCGGATGACATGATGTAAATTTTTTCATAAGTACTTAATTATAAATATTGCCCTATAATCCAATATCGAAGGGAATGAGCTGTTTGGGTCTAATTTATATTATTATGAGTTGATAAATGAGTTAAAAACATCTTAAGCCCATTCAACTACACCATTGAACCCACAACACTATGTTCCCATAACTCCATATCTCCTTAACTGTTTATCAAAGAGAAATAGTTCATTAAAAAAATCTGTAGTAGACAAAAGTTTTGGGAAATTTCGAACCAGTAAAATCAATTCTTGTAGCCATTTAACACCATTCCCAAGAAAAATGTCACGTACTTGCATCTGCATTCAGGGTATCTTCTTGCGGTGACAGTGGAAAACACTGTTATTTAGTTTCTAGCTGAGGCCGTAGATCACGACTTTTATGTCATCATTGCAGGCGTACGCAAGTGTCCTACAGTACAAAGCAATCTTGGGCTCTCTGTATTGATGTTTAGTGAGGGTGAGACTTCCGGTAGCTTTATCCAGCAGCAGTTTCACATTAGTTAGTGATTTGGCTAACGTAGAATCTAATGCTCCATAAATACAACCCAAAAATATTATACAATTTTATAATTATTATATAAATTATAACCATTTTTATACATTTTTTAAAAATTTAAACATTTATCTCTGCATAGTCTAATTAATAAGTGTTCGTATGATTTTAATAATTAAATTTTGAATTTGAGGAACAAAAAGGCTGTTATTTGAATTGCAGCTATGATTTGGAAATATGTCGAGATTGAAGTCTTCATAACGTTTGATAAAAATGAATTACCAATGAAGTAAATTATATGAATGAGTGTGTAGACTTCTAAAAAAACGATGAAATAGAAAAAATCTTAATAATAATATTTGATTTTTTTGTTGTAGCCCAGTTACATCAGGTATTGGGATCATATTCAATTCTTGCTGAAGGAGTTCATGAAAGAAGATACCTGAGATGTTTGTTCGAGGGCTAATGAGACAAGTAGAGGGACCGTTAACAAAGCAATGCTGTAGAAATACAATCTACAAAAGGTAATTTTCTACGATATGTTCAGCAACGAGAAAATCCAAAAGTTTATTAAATACAAGCAGTATGGAGATAGGTATATCCTCTATTATGTCATGCTTACTGCCTTTTAGGTGGATAAGAAAGGCACAAGGAGGTTTTTCAAAAATGTAGTAAGATACATTTTTTTGAGGGAATACTAAAAGATCACATAAATGGGATCGTTCAAAACAGATCAGAAATCATGTAGAAAACGCTGAATTAGGTCATTTAACTCTGAACACTCTTTGATAGACAAAAAAGTACTATCAAGGACGGCTAAGTGACCGTGAAGCATAGTAATGAAGTAGTATTAGCATTATATAAACTAATATACCAAATAACTAACTTCAGAATAGTCTTTATGAGTAATACTTCTTTATTAATAGTTGGTCTAAATTTTCTTTCTTATTTAGACATATGTTTATCCACATGTTAATTAATTTAATTGGCTGTCTGTGCTTGAGATTCTTGCGTGATATTAATAGTTCTGAAGAGATTTTAAAAATAAGAGGCAAAATATAGACTAACTATAATTATAAAAGTATTGCTTGTAAAGACTGCTGTAAAATTAGCTATTCGGAATTCCTTTTACAAAATTTATCCTCAAAAAATTGAACAAGTGGAGTAGATGCGAGAATATTGTCAAGCATTACATGTACTATAGGAACAACTAGGATAAGTTAACACTGGAAAAAGTTTCTTCCAAAATATACTGTAATAATCATTGAAAATAACTAAATGCTTACTTGTAGATTATTACTATATTTTCAAAAGGATCTTACGTTACCAACTACATTTTTTTCTATTTTGGATAAGTTATCCTTATGAAACCCACGTCATGAAGATAAACACTATGTTTTAAATAGGGGACAGTGGGGCGACATCGGCACCCTAAATAAATATGATTATAGCCGTAAATGTATCTGGATTGAATGGTTTTTCTCTCAGTAAATGAATCGACTAATTAAAAATTTCTTACAAGCTTTGTAATTGACTAAAAAAAATCGAGATACAGAACACTAAAAACTGCTGGGAATGCTCTTTTATGAAGTAGGCTCTGACACCTAGTAGGGTGTGCCTGGTCCATAAAAGATGCAAGCACTTGACGCGGCATTCGTGGCAGCTCGGAATGTGCTAATACATTAACACTAACTAAATAAACAATAGCCTAATCCTTTAAAACGAATTAGTTGAATAACTTTTTGCTCATCGTTAACACAAATGTAATAATGTTATTATAAAAACAATTGATACAATAAAAATTTATTTTTATGTTATTAACAATTGAAAGTATAACAATCTGCTTAATGTAATAAAATTTTTAATACACTAGTTCTCTTCTAAATTTTCAAATTAAAATTATCTTTCTTTAATGGCACTTTTAATACTTATAATCACATTTATTTACTTATCAATCTTCTTGCTCTTTGGTTGCTAAGCAGTTGTTAACCCAGTTGCTAGATCTCTTTGACTAAAAGTTTTGGTTTTTCTTTTACCAGGATTTTTTTCATTCTTAACTTTCTATTTTTTCCGTTTCTAGTTTTGTTTGACATTAGATTTTCCTTGTATTGACTATCTGTTATTACAACTGCCTTACAATTCTCTTTTAGTATTTTTATACTACTGGCGTAGAAGAATTTAAACTGTGTAAAATACTTAAATTGAGTGAATACAAAATTGAAGTATACAAATTAAAGAAGCATAATATTCACCCTGACATGTTTAGGAGTACCTGTTCAGCGTCTGCTAATGTAATTCTGACATGTTTATCGGTCACATAAATTGTGTTAACCTGTATTAATGAATGATAATATTGGGAACAGCTCTGGGAGTTGTTACGATGTTTTTTAAGGAGGCTCCCTAATCTCAATTTTATTTTTATACCACTCCGTGCCGTAAATAAAATTTTTTTTCACGAGAAATGAAATGATCAAATAATGTTTTTTACAAAAACGTTCTTATTGACCCTCCTTGGCTATCAGCAAAACAATTTTATCTTTTTAATAATCCCATTTAAATTTAAACATAATGATTTGATCTCTATTAAGTTTATCATTCATTGAATTGAACATTTGAGTACGAAAAATAGTTTTCATTATGGTACTATTTTTTTATGTCAGTTTTTGTTAGTGTGGGTGTATAGAAATTTTTCATAATTGGTCTTCTAATTGTAAAATTTTATGAATATGTACAAGTGCACGATTTTTGCATTTATTTAATTTTACAAGGCAAACTAAAAGAATGAAGTATATAGGTGATGTTCCCAAA